GCTGAGGCTTTATCAGTGTTTCAGAGGAAGTAAATCATATGGGAAAGAATGATGCATTTTTCTGCAAAGCAGTTGGTGGATCCGAACCTTGTTTCTTTAGGTTAACAGCACAGCTTCTGACCAGTAGGCCACTAGAATTCTTTTACTTTTAATACTCACACAGTAATAGAACTTTTCCCATTTTTGTTGTTGTTGTTGTTGTTGTTGTAGCTCTGATTTCCATTAATGTTTTTATTCTACTCATTCCTTCCTTCATGACTTTATCATTGGGCAAATATATCCCTTATGATCCTAAATGACTGGTTATTCTAATGAATGAATGCCTCCTTGTTATTATTGTTCACTTAATAGGCTTGTCAAGAGCTCATTGGACCTAGTGGCAAGGACCTGCAACTACAATCCCAGAGGCTCACGGTTCGAATCCACCAGATGCTCTGCCGGGGAAGGAGGGACAATTTCCTCCTGTACCAGTCAGATCTGATTTGACGGGACACTCACACAAAAATAATAACAATTAAAGAAAAATAAAGAACTCATTGGAAAGCTGAATCACAGATGTGGTTTGACGGGGTACTAAGGATCATAATCTCTGTAGTTATTTCAATCTCTATCAGATCAGAAAGGATGACCTTTTTACATTGTTATCCAAGATCTACTGCCATCCCTTTCTTAGTGGTCCGCAGTGGTAACCCAGCACCGCGTAATTCTTTAGGTCTCAGGGTCATAAAGATGAAGTCCCCATGGTCCATTTGTCTTTTTGTCTAACGGCTAGAACAGCTTTGCTTTTATATTCTTTGTTCCAGATAAAGTTGTTGTTGTTGTTGTTATGTGCCATCAAGTCACCTGCAACTCGGAAGATTAATTATGCCTTAGAGGACTGCTTACAAGTTTCTAAGACTTCAGTTGCTACTCATTGAAGTAGATCATTGTTTTCACACACAGATATCTATAAAGTGTCAAAGATTATATATAAACAAATTCATAGCAGATAAATAAAATTTTATTGATCAGAGATTTTTAAGATTATTATTAATATTGGTTAACATTCTCATTCATGATTAGTTGTAGCATTTTTTACAATTTTTAAAATTTTAAATTTAATTGATTTTTTTTAGGAAATCTATATCAGCTGTGAAAAGTAGGCTGGGGGCTGATTGTGGAACAGACCACCAACTACTCATATGCAAATTCAAGCTGAAGCTGAGGAAAATTAAACCAAATCCGAGGCAACTAAAATATGACTTTGATTTCATCCCACCTGAATTACAGAATCATCTCAGGAACAG